CTCACGGTGTTGGAGATAGTATCTGTTAGTTTCCTGACACAACAGGTCAAAGAAACCATCTCCAAAAAACAGTGACACAACTTCAGACATGTCCATTGGGTCCGATGGCATCTGCTTCACCCCCGGATCAACTTTCCCAAAGTGGGGGTTTTGTCCACTTTATTCCATGTAGCTGTCCCGACGCTCGCACTTTCAACGGAGCTCTCACTTTCACTTGACACATTTTGGGCAGCCCTGTGGCCCCCGTCACTGTCACTGTCACTGATAATGGCCTCACTATCAGAAGACGAAGCAGTTGGCAAATCTGATAGCTCATTGGAGAACATATCTAATATTTCCTGTCCTCCGAGAGATCGCAACTGCTTTCGTCTCTGAGCCATGTTGAATTGGTAGCTGTGTGGTTCATACGTGCAAGCTTGGATTAGAACAAAGCCAATTTTGTTTAGGTTGTGACAGGAAATGACTCTGGTCGAGTTACCAGATAAGGCAGCAATCATTCCCGAGGTCATCTACACAGTAGTTACGATTCAACGAAGGCACACAGCGATATACAGCGTTTTGCAACATAACGTGACCATAGAGGGCCATATGGCCCGACCGGTCCGCAATGTGTTAACAAGCATAATTTGTTCCAGAATCTTACTTGTAATGTGAAACAATTTTTCCCATATAAATTAATGTATATGAAATATACATTGTATGCTATATATGAAACACACAAATACACACAGCAGGGAGAATACAGAGTTCTGGTACCTTTAAGCAGCTGATACACCAGTAACACTCAGGCTTCAAAGGGTTATAACAGGACAACAAGCCAGCTGATACAGCATCAGAAATGAACAATAACACAAAATTAAACTTCTTGCATAGTATATGTTAGTAACAAATAGGTGAAGTTTCCATACAACAGTTTCAGAAGATACGTACATGTTGATGGGAATAATGTATTATTACACGATTGCTCTGAAGCAGAACTCCTATAGCCATACTGATTCCCTGATGTGCTGATGTTACTGATGCTGAATTCCTTACTTTTATGAGTGACATCATGAGGCTCTTGTTGTTGAAACCTGTATGAAACAAATCATTTCAAAATGAATCTGAACGATACATGATACTGACCTTAACATATACACTACAAATTTGGAAGAATCTGCCCATCCACTTCATCTTTTAAGACACTTCCAGAAAGGACAGAGAATGAATAAAAACGTTGTTTTAACCACCTACACCATAAGGGAACAAAGCTGAAAAACACTGAAATTGTAAAATTAGCCATGGAATGCTTAAAAAATCATGTTCATAAGGAACTTATATAAACTGTATGTCACAAAGAGAAAGTTATAAGGAACAAAAGTGCATATAAAGGAGATTGAATTGTTTATTGTTTATTGTTTATTGTTATTAAATAACTCCACAAATCCTGTACAGGGGCTTTAGCACCCATAGGATATAGAGCTAGTCAAACTTATATAATCTCATACAAAACATAAAAAGATACATGGTGTAACATTAAATCAAGCCATATCATAACATAGATTCATATACTGTTAGAAATACAACCTTTTACTTCTTACTACTCCAAGTCCATTTGTCACAATCATTAAACATTAATCATAAAACAATATCACATAATACTAAGTAATAAACATAATTAAAATTAAAAAATATAACATACAGTTAATCCCATTTACATCCAATCAGTATTTACAAATTATCTTGATTAAAAAACTCCTCTAATGAATAAAATGACCACGAGCAAAGATATCTCTTTAATGCTGGTTTAAACAATTCAATTTTATATGATAATGATTTTATATTTATAGGAAGATGGTTAAATATCCTATGGCCAAACTTTATAAGGCTGTCAAGGAGACAACTCAGAGCAGGAAATGTGAACTAATAGCTGTGAGATTTGCTACTGTTTTAGAGTTACAGCATTTCAAACTTTCAGCCTTGATCTTTTTGGAAATTCATGTATTGGAGTCTCCATAATGTCACAAGACAACATAGCTTACAGGTCATATTACTTCGGACATCAAAGCAGCAACAAGAGTCAAACCAGAAGGTATGATTTATTAATGTGGAGTATGCCAACATGCACTTTGTGATGAAAATGCAAGAGTTGCATTGTGGGAATGCCAGGCTCAGTATCAAGGCCAGAGGCAATTTAGTAGACATGCTTGCAATGATACATTGCAGTCTGATGGAAACAGGTGCAATCATGCCACCAGCACATGCTGGTCATGGCAGATGAAATGTGCAGAACAAATAGAAGTCTTAAATGCTGTACATGCTAATCCATCAAATAATACTGGTCGGGTCACAAATAAAACAGGCCTCTCTCTGAGCACAGAGCATACATTGCATGAGAATGAGTTGTAACCTTTCCATGTGCAATTTGTACAAGGGCTGCAACCAGGAGACAATAATCTTCACCTTCAGTCCTGTCAATTGCTTCTACACAAAATTATAGACTGATGAGGCAACATTCAGAAGGAGTGGCATAAACACTCTCCACAATCTACATGAATGGGAAATGAGGAATCCTTCATTTCAAAATATTCAGTGTCAATGTTCAAGTGGGAAAAGTTGACAGTCACCTAACTGTGGCACACACAGCGCTGAACTGACTCAGTTTAATCCAGCATGCTGATTTCCTTGCAATAACACTCCCCCTCCTACTGAAGGAGGGGGAGTGTTATTAACATTCACAAGCACATGTGGTTTCAACATGATGGAGCCCCTTTCCACATTTTACACCAAGTGTGTATTGTGTGAATAACCACTTTCTGGACATGCATGTCAGTCAGCTATGGCAGTCCAAGTGTCGGACATCTATGCGCTGATCTGAATCCACCTGATATTTTCTTATGAGGATGCGCCAAAGAAAACACTTATGTTATGGAAATACAAGAACAGTTGCATATTGATACCTGCAACAGACATTCAGGACAAACCTAGACACTGGTTGGAAACAAACACTTCATTCACCATCGCTGCAAATCATGCATGCAAGCTGGAGAACGTAACGTTGAGTAGGATATGAGATTCCCACAACAGCTGTTACGAAGAGTTAAATCTTCTGGGATATAATGCCATGTAGTCCGTTGAAAGTCAGCTGACATTTCGGAAGACCATATCACCTCCATCTTCATGGCTGAAAAATAAATCACGCAAGAAACCAGTATGAAAGCTTTCTTGTCACCTGCTTTCAAGCTGCTTTCTTGCTTGGCCTATTCATTAACCCTGATGATGAAGGTGACATGTTCCCCTGAGGCATGTAGTGCTCCAAGAGTATGCCTCATTCATCCAAAAAGAGAGTCAGCATAATCTTCACTGCAGATGGCTGCGCCTGAAACTTCTGGGGTTTTAGTGATGAGGAATGATGCCACTGCTTGCTCGTTCTCTTTGTTTCCAGTTGGTGGTAGTACACCCAAGTTTCATCGCCAGTAACGATTCTCGAAAGGAAGCCATCACCTTCTGCTTCAAGGTGCCACAGAAGTTCTTCATAGGCGTCAAGACGTTATTTTAATTCTGGAGTTAGCTGCTGTGGCACCCACCTTGCAGACTCTTTGTGAAACTGGAGCACACCATGAATGACATGGTGTGCTGATCTGTGACTCATGTTAAGAATTTTGGCTCTTTCATCCACCAACACTCAGTGATTCTCCATCACTAGGGCTTCAACTGCTGCAATAGACTCAGGGGTCACAATTCTGTGTGCCTGACCTGGGAGAGGAGCATCTGCCACAGACGTCACACCATTTCTGAATTTCCTACTCCACTTGTACACTTGCTGCTGTGACAAGCATGCATCACCATACTGAACCTTCATCCGTCAATGAACTTCAATCGGTTTCACAACTTCACTGATCAAAAAACGAATTACAGAATGTTGGTCTTCTTTCATGCATGTATGTAGTGGAGCAGCCATCTTCAAACCGGCACTATGATGGTATTCTGCTTGTCTGCACTATACTGCCACATATAGGATACTCTTTATAGAATTGGTAACATGTATGCCAATTTATAGGGCAATGACGTGATATTTTGAATTTTTATCTCAGTTTTACGGTTTTCATTTGACTCACCTATGTACATTCTTGAAGGTGATGAAATGGTTAAGCCAGTTTCCCAATTTTATTATACGTGTGGTGCAATTTGTTATTGGTTTGATATTGGAGGCAGACTACAGGGGGTGAGCCCTAGAGGTCCTCCCCTAGGAAATTTTTGAAAAAGAAAAATGCTCATTAAGCCAGTACATGTGGAATGGTCAACTGGAATTTATGTTACAGTAATAAAGAGCTCAAAAGTAAAATAAAAATATATAAATTGAAGGGAAGAATACTGGAGAATTGGAGAATACTGGGTCAAACCATTTATTTTTAACAGTACATTTCAATGGCTGGCAGCACCTTCAAGTCCTGCTTAACTGTACTGTGTCAACATCCCACCACAGCTCAGCTGAGTAGGAACGTGTGTGACAGGGAAGAAGACACAGCATTATGCATTCAAAAAATGGACTTATACATTTAGGTTTTCAAAAGGATGTAATATATATTTGCTCAACAGATAATTCTAAAACCACTAATACTAAAAGAAAAAATTTATTACAACTTACACAGGACCTGCTAAAATTCGGTCAAATGTTGACTCAAGAAATGTATCTTGAACTGAAATTGTTGCATTTACAGTATCAAAGTCTGTCTGTATGGCTCTTTCATGTTGTAGCTGCTTTGCATGACTCTCATTCTCTTTGCCTCTATAACCCTTCCTGGTCTTCTGGGATTTAAGCATTTTAATGTTCTTGGTAAACAGTGCATCAAAGGCAGTAATGGATTCCTTCTCACTGTTTATAATTTCTTTCATAACATTGTGGATACTGGCCCAAGGTCGCCTCTTCCTTTCCTTGCCTTTGTATGTTCTTGATACCTTTATTGGAGCCATTTAGCTTCATTCTAAAACAAGTGCAGAATGAAAAATAATAGGGCAATGTTCTGTACTGAAACACAAAAGATTTCATTTACTTTAATTATTTCCCATATTTTGACTCAATATCTAATTACGCCCATAAAGTTGATTAATTTTGCGGGAAAGCTGAGTTCCATGATTCTCACGCCATGAATAATACGATTACGGCCACCATGAGAATAGAGGCAGCAAATTTCTCTGAAACGTTTGTGCTTATCTTCCAAACTACATACCATCATACCACATTCATTATTTGTAACAGTGTTGTTCTCAATTGGTCAAACAATTTAATAAATGCAATTACGTATTCCAACAGTTATTAATGTAATCTTTAACCTATTCTATTTCGCCAACTTAGTTAACGAATGCCCGTCCATCATATTTCAAAACAAGAATCTTTATGGAAATACAATTGTGTCTGTTACAAAGGCCCATACAACTAATATTTCTTTCTAAAAATAAATATAAAAGACTTTTACTTACACTACTTCTCTCTCTTGCAACTTAATTAAATCCACTACCAACCCTATGACAGCATTACGAAATTAAAATACTGTACATAACACTACTTTGAACTACAGCACTTCGAATGCGACGAAGTAAAAAAAACCTTGGCAGCGTTCATTACTTACGCTGACCGCCTATGGTAAAAAATTCGACCACATTAATCGCAGAGCCACGCAAAGTCTTTATAAACAGGCAATGCTGAACTCTTACAACAAATTTCGTATCCATATTGTTTTCTTCAATGGCAACTGGTAAACGTACGAACAGTTTGGGTCAAGACCACGTAAAATGTGTGTGCTGCATGCATCGATGCGTTTGTCTAAGCAGACGGTTGAAACTTTGTTTCATTTTGATGTTCATAATTTAGGAATCTATTTTTCATTATAAAAAGTTAAACAGTTCCGTTCAGTATGACTGGTCACACTGGATGGAACTGTTTAACTTTTTATAATATTGTTAGTGTGACGGACCAGAATGAAACAAATCATAATTTTCATTGTTACATTCTACATTCTTTTCACAATTTTAGGCTCAATTTGTGCTGGCATGAACATTTCAAATAATAGGAGCTGCGCTCCTTTGCGAACTGCGTCTGGCTCGTAGTAGAAACATTCCCCTTTTTGGGTCGAGACCGATGGATTTGGGGCCCGCTGGGCTCGTCTGTTCCCTCTTCTGCCAACGTGTCGATCATACAGATGGACAGACAGATCGACGCTTGTATAAATTCTTCATCAAAGATGCGTATGAACCTAAAACGGCTGTTTCTATCACTGGACCGGGCCGAACCGATTACATTCCTCATACATTTCTTTTTGGTTCTTTGACACTAACAGCGACAAAGGTATACGTGACGACGAGTTACTTTAAATTTGTATTTAAATTCAGTTCGACACTTCTTCGTCAGCTTCTTTTCATGCAAGGTAAATCCATCCACTCTACGATCCACGGGTACGTCATATATTGTGCAGATAGCCTTGTAGTTGAAAGTCCTATAGGACATTCCTGTGACAACGGGAGAATAACAGAGGAACTGTCTGATATGGCGACTTATATTCCGGCCGCCTGGAAGTTAAAAAAGAGAGTTCATTCGTGAATTTAAGAGATTCATTCGTAAGAGACTTCAGAAGAAAGTTATATAGTGAAGTAATCACCTGCAAAGTGTTAACCAGGTAATATTCGTTATCAAACTACGACTAGCAAGCAGACATCGAAGGCTTTATTTTGTGTGCTATAATTACAGCATTCTTTTTTTCTTTTTCCTTATTGGCACTGCAGCCCCAGTGGGCCTAGGCCTACCTCCATGAGCTTCTCCGTTCACTTCGGTTTTCCTAGATCTTACAGATACGGTAGGACTCCTTGGGCGGGTGATCAGCTCGTTGCAAGGCCTCTACCTGTACACAAACACAGAAAAACGCACACACACAAACTAAACATCCATGCCCTGAGTGGGATTCGAATCCACGATCCCGGTTTCCAAGCGAGCGAAGACAGTACATGCCTTAGACCGCACGGCTACCGTGACTGGCACAGCATTCTTTAGAGTGTTATAATTATTTGTAGGTACGCCATGTGAGTGTCCAATCAATCTATTCACCAATCAAAATCCCGTCTACATTCACTAATACAAGTGATAATATCGAATTTATAATAGGTCAACATGGCTACGAATTAAAACAGCTTAATTATGTTATTCATGTATGTCTCTAATTTAATAATATTTTGACGAAGTGATTACGAGATATACATGAAGAGTTAATTTATAACATTACGTAAAAATGGCCTTATAATCGGTCATTATGCTAAAAGTCAAAACGTGTGTCTGGCGTTATACAAATTTCCTCATATCGAATTACACCAATATTTTAATTAACAGTGTATGGTATGGGCCTGCACGAAGAATTACATTTATAATCTTATGGAAAATAGGTATTGTAATGGACCAATATGGCTGAAAAGCGTAACTGTCCAGCAACTTTTAGTGAAAGTCTAAGAAGCCAACTTTTAAAAAAAGGCTGGCCAACGGCTTAGGCACTTATGTGGGCTACCAGACACAAATGACTTCCACTTTCTTTGCACAGAATGCCAACAAGAACAGAACCTAATACACATTTATTGCAAATAGTAGATGAAAAATTATAAACTGAATTGCAGAATCTGTCATTCAGTTAGAGGCCACATAGCTGACGTACCTCTTTACATCTATCGAAGCTGGGGGGCATCTGCCCTCTTGGATCTGCGGGAAAATCAAAATTTAACAGAAGGAAGCGTACCAACTAATAATATTAAAAAGTAGAGCATCTAGAAAAATACTCTTTCGTCTTAAATAATCCGGCTAATCGTCCTGGAAAGAATTCCGAATGCACGTGAGAATATCTAGGTGGGAAACTGGGAATATGTGAAAAGTGACCGAGGACTCATCAACCAGTTACCTGCAATTAGATCGTGAAGGTAATGGACAAAGTTTAAACAATGGCGGACACATTTTTGACTAACTGAACGACTCTCAACTTATCAGAACCTATTTTTTTCCCTTGGCACTACAGCCCCAGTGGGCCTAGGCCTACCTCCGTGAACTTCTCCGTTCACTTCGGTTTTTCTAGATCTTACACATTCGGTAGGACTCCTTGGGCGGGTGATCAGCTCGTCACAAGGCCTCTACCTGTAGACAAACACAGAAAAACGCACACAAACATCCATGCCCTGAGTGGGATTCGAACCCATGATCTCGGCTTCCGAGCGAGTGAAGACAGTGCATGCCTTAGACCGCTCGGCTACCGTGACCGGCAAGAAGTTATTTAGCGAACTGAAATAATAAAGTGTCTCCATGGAGATCTACAATTCCATTTATTCCTTTATTTATATAAAAAGATAGCGGTAAAGGGATAAAGCTACCCCTGAAACAGGCCATGGAAGTCCATAGGGCTGTGGAACGTCGAGGGTCCACATTTTCTCTAGACAATAGGCTCACAGACGGCGGTGAAGTTATCAGCCTTACGTACCGGCCGTCCTTTACCCCCCCCCCCCCGAATATGCCTGGTGCTCATTTATGTTAGAGGCTAAGTCGAACACAGGGCCATAGTGCGGCTGGAAGGATCAGGTCAAATAAAAAGCCAATGACCTCATCGGGAATTGAAACTGAGACCTTCTAGCATGTAGCATAGCGCCTCAACAAACTACGCTACCACGTTTCAAGTATATTTATTTATATACATAGTAATTTGTTTTAATGTTCATTCTCGTTAAATTTACCCGCAAGAAAGGCTTCGGGAATACGAAACAGGAGCGCTAACGAATGCATCACGACGCCCATTAGCATCCAGTGTGTTGCTGCTGAAGAAGTAGTACATTATTACTCCGTGCAGTTATGTCAGTTCTATTGCACTTACTTTTTGCGAAGGGTACGAGCGGCGAGTCGAGGGAAGAAACAGGCGCTTACAGTGTGAACAGTGCGTGAACAGAATGTTGTTCCTATCCATTTTCAGAATACACAAATGGCACATGATGGAAAGCTTCATTAAGTCTTCCGTGGGTAGAAACTCCGTGATTTTAGTCCGCAAGCGAACTATATCGACCGTGGGACCGCCGCTTGTCGGCGAAGTTCAGTGCCAACTTTTGCGGATAGATGGTGTCGCGTGGTCAGCGCAACGAATCCCCACGGCCGTTAACCTAGGTCTTCTAGACCGTAGCCGCTATTTCCTTGAAAGAGCTCCTCAGTTATCATTACGAGGCTGAGTGGACCCCGTTCCAGATCCACTATTTCTCAGAAAATCTGGTAGCGCCAAGAATCGAACCCGGACCTCTGGATGTGTAACCAGGAACTCTGACCACTAGACCACAGAGGCGGGGTTAGGGCAATATGAAAAGGAGAGTGAAGAAAAACAGGGCCTGTCTGAAGCACTGATCAATAATCAAATATGTAGCAAATTCTAACGTCAAGCGAAGAAAGGCGAAGAAAAACAGATTTTTCACCGCATGAAAGTTGAGAAGGGCCATCGGCGCTCCACGTTGTGTACGTTGCAGCATTAGGCTTCGCTATCGACACTCAGATAGTTCGAATCTTGTTAAGACTCACTGCTAAACCATGTACATCCCAACACGTATAGGTCTATACTGATCATTTCGCCTCTTGGCTCTTGACTCGTTATGCACGTTCGAGCACGTGTACATTTACGTGCACAGTTTTGCTCTTGCTCGTCGCTCCACTATACGCGTTCTAGCACCCTTTTCTGTATTATTCTCAGGGTGGGTTACCCTGCGTCCCTTGGTGCTGTATATGACCAATTGTACCAATCCTCGTTGAAAGGTAAGAGGAATGGAGCACTTGGTGGAATGACAACTGGCATGGGGAACTGAGTACTTGGAGTATTGGAACTGATCTCGGGCCGCCGGGGCGACAAACCCACGTCTGACTGACTGAGCTATGGTTCGTCTTCCAGCACGCGTACACCACCAAGATGACCAAGATGATATGTCCCTTGAGTCGCTGTGACTTCTGTGACTGTGACACCATGCATACGTACATCCCTCTGGTCTGTTCCCCACTCAGCGACATCGCCGGTGGGGAAAGGAAACTGTAAACAGTACTGTCATTCTGACAGCAGGCGGGGACTGGGCATTAATAGAACGATGTTCGTCCTTGGCTTAAACTCACTTTCCGGCTTCTGCTCACAGCCTGCTGATTGCTGATTACCACAGTTTGCCTTGGGGTACGGGAACGTAGGCGCGTATTAGAAGGGGGTTCCACGCCAATCTTGCGAAAATTACTGACGGAATAAAACCAGTGCGAACAAGCAGGCTATGTGAATTACGGACACAAATAAGACACATGTCAATAGTATCAGATAAACATTCATATAACTGAAATAAAAGTGGAACGTGATATCAGTGTTTCAAGTTAATGTAAAATACTGTATGATAATTGTTTCCGGAAATAACTGCATGAAGCTGGCTTGAAGCGCATCTGCAGGATTCAGGTAATTTACTTCTGATTCTTTGTGCTTGTGTTGACACGCGTAGTTCCTGTAGACTGCGGTGAGAAGACACGAGAACAGAAGCGCGTTATTTTCAAACAGTTGTGACAGGGATTGTGCGCACGTCTGCGCAGTAATTGAAACATGAATTTCATGGTTAACCATCCCGCATGTAGCTTACTTCAGACATGTTTGTATGCTACTGACACTGAATTATTATAGGGAAATAGAGATTAGGTCCTTTAGAATGTTGGGACTCAGTTAAATCCTAAATTATTAGGAAGAGGCTTCCGACGGTCGCAAATTCACAACACAACGCAGAGAAATGCCGACATAGATTCATGGCTCGTGCGGGATTCGAACCCGCGATCATAATGTTGAAGCAGTCCAATATTGCAATACCGTACCGCACTGACACCCCGAAGGGCCTGTCCTGGATTCGCATCGTTCAGCGGACCAAATTTTTGTGGTTAATGTTGACCGTGTTTCAATAAAAGCAGACAGACATATTCCTGGGTGTCTGTGACAGGAGTTCACTGATTATACCAATGTGACATTATGTTGGTGTCTGATTTTCACTACGCTGACACTTCATTGTTTTTATTATAAGTGGCAATGACTGGGATCGAACCCTGGATTTTCTGAGTTCTAGACTAGTACGCTAACTGCCACACTACCGGGTCGGTACAGGAACGGGCGTTTTTTGTTTTTACTCAATATAAATAAAGGTAAATTGTCCCTGTGCTTAACTGATTAAGCACTACGTCATGAAGGCGTATGAGGGAGTGGATGTATAGTTTCACATTTTTAAATATAAATATTCTGTAGCTAGTAGTAGTGTAAGTACATAAGAGAAAAATACATTAAAACAACATCAATTCCTGGACCGCCAAGATGGTTTTATGGTTAACCTGTGCCTGTGGGCGTAGAGGCGCTAGCGTGGGCGAACTGATAAGGAGGCTTTAAAATGTGCGTGTGGACGGGTATAGGGCCGATCCAGTTTCAAAATCAATTTGCGCCGCAGAAAAAACAAATGAAAATTGCAAAGCAGAATAATTCTAAAATAAATATTTAGAAATGCAGTATATACATTGTATGTCAAAGTGTAAAGGGGTTTGGCAGTAAAATCCAAGATCAAATTGCTAGGTCATTTTTAAATGTACGGAACATAAAAAGGGGACCAGGCTGTATGGGGTCTGCTCACTGAGATTAAAGACGAAGCAACTGAAATTGCATGAGCACAGACATTTCACAGGACCGGCAGAAGAAAACAGAAATTATTGAAGGGTACTTACTGTCTCCTGGGATATAACCCTGTTGTCCGCTGGAAGTCAAGCGCCTCCATATCCAGGATCGAACTGAAAATTGAGGCGATATCTTCCTCCGAAACGTTGTTTGACTTTCAGCAGACTACACGGTGTTATATCTCACAAGGTCATACTCTTCGTAACCACCAACGTGAGAACCTCAAATCCTACATAAAATATTGAGTTTTAAAATGGCGTAAAGCAATATTGGTTAAATCGATTCATAGAACCACGCGTTGTCCACGAACGCAACAGCATGAAACATCGCTTCGATTATCTCCAGGGATGCTGCACCATATTTCACGGAGATGACGCACTTCATCGCGAAATGTACGTTGTCTCAGTAAGGGACTGGCTCTCAGTGTAACAGATGTCGCTTGTAAGATGAATGTTATCGACCTTAATACACGTACATGCGGTGATGCAGATGGTGACGGCAAAAGGCGAAGGCAACGCATGTACTGACGGCTTCACATCTGGCAGTTCGTTGCCTCCGTATGAGGTAATTCGTCTTCCAAGCATACAAAACAGCGCGAAGAAGAGAGGAGCGAACATTTCTTTCTAAAGCTTGTTTAGACATAAGATCTCCATGCAAAGCCGCATCTTGGACGTCCTCATCAGCGGCCACATTGCCAGATAGGCCTGTATGGCCAGTTGCCCACCAAATGACATAGACTTTGCTGATTCAAGAAGATGGGACTCTTCGCGTAGAATCTGCATATGACCAGACAGTCCAGTTTGTACCCATGGGCTCTCGCAGGGCGCTGTAATCCCTCCAGAACAGATGATGTTGCCAAGGTAGCCAGCGAACCGAGAGAAGAGCTAGATGTATGACAAAGATTGGTTTATAAATTCTGTTATGCCTATGTAGGCGGTAGCAGAGATCATACCCTAGCCAGTCCTGTAACCCGGATAGGTCAGAAGATAAGGTAAAGGTAAAGTGGGGGAAGTGGACGTATAGATCCACATTTTCTTGATCTCGGAACTAGCCGAATGTGAGTGTCAGCTTCACGCCCCGGCCGCTTTGCTTCCTGGGAAAGAGCCCCCGGTATCTATTGGATAGGATGTTGGGTGGACCCCAGAGCCGGTCTGAAAGACGTGGAGAAGAGAAAATTCTTGCCCATACCGGGACTGCAACTCCGACTTTCTCGGGCGTCCAACCCATAGCCAGTCGCAATACCGAATGCGCTATCCCGGCTGCTATAAGTGGGAAGGAGCTTACAAAATTCCGACCAACTTCCGAAACGTCGTGTATGTAGCACGTACTTCAGACACTGCACAGTGTCCAACATAATGTTGAAATTTTGCAGTTCTCGGTGTGTAATGTTACAAAATTCAAACTATTTGGGTTTTGATATTCTTTTGTTGCAGATGCAAAGCTATTGTTGAAGAAGCAAGTCAGCCGTATTATAGAAGACAGCGAGTTAACAAGACTCCTGTGGGGTGGTCTCCAGTGGATTGATCATGCCAAATTTTATCAACATCGATCATTCAGTGTGTAATGCTGACGTCAACAATTCGATGGACGGACGCCCATCTCTCGAATAGGTTCCCACACTTGGAACCCAACAGAAAGGTACGGAGCAAATTGACCTACCGGTAACGTTCTAGGTTTGTATTTAAAAAAATGCTATTTTTTCCATGATTTACCACAGTCTCTCCAGGCGAATGCTGTGGCAGAACCTTCTGCTAGGTTACGGCAGCCTTCATCCAAAATCTCGCCAACTCATGATCACGGCCCCGTTTCACTGGACATTGCATGAAGTGTACGAAAGAATGTAACCCAAGCATCAACCTTTCCCTCAATTCAGTAATGCAGTATGAAGCTGTGGGTGGATGTTGAGTCCCATGGAGCATTTTAATATTATTCTCCCATCAATGCCAGGTCTCCACAGTGGTGTCTTCTTTTCAGATTTTCTTGCATGGGTTGTTTATCACCCATTTCTAGTTAGAGGTTAGGTTTAATGCAATTCTCTTGTTCTTAAAACCACCAATACTTATACTGAATAAAAGTCAGTGCGGACTCTCCAACTCGTCCTTCTTGATTTGATAACCTTAATAATATCTACTGAAATGAGTACCAGAAATATTCTTGAAATGTTCTTGGGGGTAAAGGGCGGCCTGCGCGTAGGGCTAACAACCTTACCGCCATCTATGAGCCGATTGTCCATAAAATGTAGGAACCTCAACATCTCACAACTCTATGGGCCTCCACGGCCTGTTACAGGGATACCTTTACCTTACTTTACTTTTGATAATATCTATTGAAGGGTATGAATTACTGAACTTCTTATTATGCAGTTCTCTCAACTCTGTTGTTACCTCATCCCTAGGTCCGAATATCCTCTTCAACACGTCAAATGATGAGGAAAGAATCAGACAGCGCGAGATATTTGCAAATAAGATATGCACAGTTTACCGATAGAACAGTTTCCAGCAGTTTACTTGTATTTATTTGCAATTGTGAATAAATGAAGGGTAGACCAGTCGTAAAATGCGTACTAAAGTGATACATGGACACGGAGAGAGGGGACCAAAATTAGTGAAGAGGCAGAAATGACAACGCTCAGATTTTAAGCTGGCGATCCACAGTTAAACAAGAAGTTATGGGAAGAACTAATCCTCTACTTCCCTTTCACTGTAACTTTAGAATCTGTTGCGGTAAGTAGAAGGAAAACTTTCTTATATTTGCGTAATGACATCAATAAAACAATACAATCTGTGAGGTTACAATATTTGTATTGATGTTTGGAGTGATTCATGGCCTCAGATGGCATGACATATATACAAAATTTTATTAAGATTGGTTCTGACATTCAGGTAACATTAAGATTATTACGAGTACCTCAGCAATTTGAGAGATTGCAGTGTTGGTGCCACTAATGACGGGGGTCCCCGTCGATAGTATCTCAGGTGGCATGATATATTTACAAATTCCCATGACGATCAGTTGAAGAATTCAAGTAATACGAGGGTCGTACTGAAAGTCATGAGCAACATTTTTTGTAAAGTAACATGCTTTATTATTGACAAACCAAATACACCACCTCAATCTACAGACCTTTCTTTATTTTTCCACATAATCGCCACTTCTTTGTACACATTTCTTCCAGCGTTCTGGGACTTTGAAAATTCCCCTTCTGTAAAATTCCGTTCCAGCCATCCGAAGACACTGATGCACTGCTTTCTGAATTTCCTCCCTTGTCTCAAAACGTTGTCCACGCAGCTGATCCTTCACAAATCCGAAAAGATGGTAGTCGGAGGGTCCCAGATCAGGGCTATAGGAGGGGTGTGGAAGAACTTCCCACCCCATCTTTGCAATTGCTTCCAATGTGAGGCGAGCGGCGTGGGGCCGAGCGTTGTCATGCAGGATGATGATGTTTCGTCCCGGACGATTATCGCGCAATGCACGATGGAGGTTGTGAAGCGTCTGGACATAACGAGCAGCACTGATGGTTTTCCCAGGATCCAGGAATTCGGCCAGAATAAACCCCTCTGCATCCCAGAAGACTGTGCCCATCACCTTCGCAGCTGATGGTACTGTCTTTGCCTTCTTTTTTGATGGAGAATGCAAATGGTGCCATTCCATACTCTGCCGTTCCGTTTCGTTTCAGGCTCGAAATGGTGAAACCAGCTTTCGTCACCTGTCACAATACACGGCAAAAAATCATCGCCTTCGTGTCGATATCTCTGCAGCAGTTCTGAGGTGATGGCTTT